ATTTTAGAATAAGGATCCAAAGTGATCCCAAAAGTAACTTTTGACTCTAGGTTAGTTGCGTGATTTTGGGTCTCCACACGTGGATTCTCCCACATGACCTAGAATCCTGATTCGGAATACAACTTCCAAACGACACCTTAATGTATTCCTAAATCTTTTTTTTTTTGTAATTCTTTTAAGTTTTTTTTTCTCCAAGCAAAATATATTTATGACGATCATGCAAACAGAAGTGACTCGCATAATAATGACAGTAGGAGAAAAATCAAGGTTGGACTAAAGAAATTATGAAAAAAAACCAAAAAACATGTATTTCTAAATATGTACACATATATATACACATTATATTTACGAAATGCCTATATGTTAATATAATTTTGATAAAAAAAATTTAAACTCTATAAATAAATTCTGACTCTGTTATTGATACCTCCTGATGACATCTTATAAAATGCATATGATCACATAAACTAATTTGCCATTTCAAAAAGCTCATGTCTAAATGATTTTTTAAAGGTTTAGTTGTTCTTATTTAAAAAATAAAGAAAGACGGTAAATTGGCTGAAGGAAAGTGAATAATTTAAAAAATATTGTTTGAGCACGAAATTAACAAAGTATCCTTTAGGTTAAATTAAAGAACAAAAAATATCATTTTGGTACCTAATGTTATAGTGAAATATGTGTATCGTATCTTATGTTTTTTATAATATTAAGTAAGATAGGTACTTCGGCATTTTAAAATTTTTTTTGAGTACCATGTGGCAGTTTTTTAGGACATAAAATGATAAATTTACTCTTATTAATAATTTCTCATTTGGTTGATTGGCTTGAAATTCGCTTGTAATACCGTTTATTAGTATGTAATTAGCTTGCAATAATTTTCCATTTTGTTAAAAAGCTTGTAATTTTCTAGTTAGTCAACTAAATTGTTACTATTGTACTTCCGTTTAGTTGGTGTATTCGTATCATGATTTGAATTATAGTTCGTGATTCGCTACAGTATTTTTTTCACAAAAAACACACGTAAATCGAAAATGATTTTGAATTATGATTATGAATTAATGAATCAAACATTCATGCGAATCACAAAGATCCATCCCTTCCTTAGTGAATTATATCTAAGAAATTAACCTAAATTTATTGAAATAGATAGAGTGATGTTTTTTTTCTCCCTAAAAGCCCCAAAATGAAAACGGACGCTCTACATTCACAAAAACTGTAAACCAACTACCCGTATTTTCAAATTGACAAGAGTGAGAATTTCAAAGCGGAACATAAGTAACACAAAAATTAAGCGATCGAAATTAGAATAGTAGCATGCAAAATGAATCAAAATGTGAAGTTATAAGAGTAGGAAAAAAAAAAAGAAACAAATAAAAACGCAGAAAAATGTAACAAAAAAAACACGATTACAGTTTTTTGAAAATTCTAAAATAAAAGAAATAAATTAAATCAGTTTTCTTCATAGCAACACAGTAAAGCGAACCTACTTATGGATATGATTATAGATACTTATAGACAAGGAGCATTTCGGTTAGCAGAATAATAAATTTTCTTCTTTTTTAATTTTTAATTGTTAATTTTTATTTTTATTTTTTATTTTTAACAATAAAATTGGTAAAATCTTTATGCACTTGGGAAGTGAGTGCCACACACCTTGGTTCATTATTCCATGAGGTTGTTCTTTTACATTTTTGAGTTATGGTGATTTGAGTAATGATTTTAAATTGAATTTGAGTTATAACTTGAGTTGAAGTTATAACTTGAGTTTATGTTTAGATGTGCACATTTGAGTTGTGATTTGAATTAAAAATTTTTTTAAGTTTGTGTTTGAGTGGGTAAAAAACTTAAATTTATATTTAGATAGTATTTTAATAAAAACTCAATGGTGATGAAAAATTTTAATAGGATATATAGGTGTAGTTTTATTCATCTTTTCGTTATAAATATATAGAAAAAATTATCTCAATCAGAATTAAAACGAAAAAGTTATGACATTTTTAAGAATAAAAAAATACTGTTTATTAATTTGAGTTCGAGTTTTTAAACTCGAGTTGAAGGAAAAGTTGTAATTCAAATTCAATTTTTTTTTGAATTTCGTCGTAAAAAAACAACCTTTTAAACTTGAGTTTAACCCCAAACTCAAATTTAAATTTGAGAAAGTAACGGGGTTGTTCTTTTGAAGTGTAATTTGAGTGTAATTTTTAAGTTATAACTTGAGTTGAAGTTGTAACTTGAATAAAGTTAAATAAAATTGAATAAAATTGAAACTTAAAAGAACGTGCACTTAAATAAAATTGTAACTTGAGTTTAAATTTTTTTAAATTTTATTGTAAAAGAATAATCCCAACGTAACTTAAATTATAACTCGAGATTAAGGGCTTGTTCTTTTGGAGTTTAACTTGAGTATAATTCTTGAGTTGAATTTGAGTTATAACTTGAGTTGAGGTTATAACTTGAGTTTATGTTTAGATGTGCACATTTGAGTTGTGATTTGAATTAAAAAATTTTTTAAGTTTGTGTTTGAGTGGGTAAAAAACTTAAATTTATATTTAGATAGTATTTTAATAAAAACTCAATGGTGATGAAAAATTTTAATAGGATATATAGGTGTAGTTTTATTCATCTTTTCGTTATAAATATATAGAAAAAATTATCTCAATCAGAATTAAAACGAAAAAGTTATGACATTTTTAAGAATAAAAAAAATACTGTTTATTAATTTGAGTTCGAGTTTCTAAACTCGAGTTAAAGGAAAAATTTGAACTCGAGTTTTAGTTCTAAACTCGAGTTTGAACTCAAATTTAAACTTAAAAGAACATAAACTCAAATAAAATTGTAGTTATATTTTTTTGAGTTTTTCGCTCAAAAGAACGGGCCTAAATTTTGTCTCTGAGTGCAACTCCAAGGGCTAACCCATTGACACACCACTCATTATTCTACTTCTTTCTCAGCAAACGAACAAGTTTGACCTTTTTCCTTCCAAAGAAGTTTGTTGTTAACGACTCAAATGAGCGACTCAATCGCCGAAAACAAGAGCCTGAAGGCGGGCGATGGCGAACCCGTGATTCGTTACAGTATTTTTTTCATAAAAAACACACGTAAATCGAAAATGATTTTGAATTATGATTATGAATCAATGAATCAAACATTCATGCGAATCACAAAGATCCATCCCTTCCTTAGTGAATTATATCTAAGAAATTAACCTAAATTTATTGAAATAGATAGAGTGATGTTTTTTTTCTCCCTAAAAGCCCCAAAATGAAAACGGACGCTCTACATTCACAAAAACTGTAAACCAACTACCCGTATTTTCAAATTGACAAGAGTGAGAATTTCAAAGCGGAACATAAGTAACACAAAAATTAAGCGATCGAAATTAGAATAGTAGCATGCAAAATGAATCAAAATGTGAAGTTATAAGAGTAGGAAAAAAAAAAAGAAACAAATAAAAACGCAGAAAAATGTAACAAAAAAAACACGATTACAGTTTTTTGAAAATTCTAAAATAAAAGAAATAAATTAAATCAGTTTTCTTCATAGCAACACAGTAAAGCGAACCTACTTATGGATATGATTATAGATACTTATAGACAAGGAGCATTTCGGTTAGCAGAATAATAAATTTTCTTCTTTTTTAATTTTTAATTGTTAATTTTTATTTTTATTTTTTATTTTTAACAATAAAATTGGTAAAATCTTTATGCACTTGGGAAGTGAGTGCGACACACCTTGGTTCATTATTCCATGAGGTTGTTCTTTTACATTTTTGAGTTAGGGTGATTTGAGTAATGATTTTAAATTGAATTTGAGTTATAACTTGAGTTGAGGTTATAACTTGAGTTTATGTTTAGATGTGCACATTTGAGTTGTGATTTGAATTAAAAAATTTTTTAAGTTTGTGTTTGAGTGGGTAAAAAACTTAAATTTATATTTAGATAGTATTTTAATAAAAACTCAATGGTGATGAAAAATTTTAATAGGATATATAGGTGTAGTTTTATTCATCTTTTCGTTATAAATATATAGAAAAAATTATCTCAATCAGAATTAAAACGAAAAAGTTATGACATTTTTAAGAATAAAAAAAATACTGTTTATTAATTTGAGTTCGAGTTTCTAAACTCGAGTTGAAGGAAAAGTTGTAATTTAAATTCAAATTTTTTTTGAATTTCGTCGTAAAAAAACAACCTTTTAAACTTGAGTTTAACCCCAAACTCAAATTTAAATTTGAGAAAGTAACGGGGTTGTTCTTTTGAAGTGTAATTTGAGTGTAATTTTTAAGTTATAACTTGAGTTGAAGTTGTAACTTGAATAAAGTTAAATAAAATTGAATAAAATTGAAACTTAAAAGAACGTGCACTTAAATAAAATTGTAACTTGAGTTTAAATTTTTTTAAATTTTATTGTAAAAGAATAATCCCAACGTAACTTAAATTATAACTCGAGATTAAGGGCTTGTTCTTTTGGAGTTTAACTTGAGTATAATTCTTGAGTTGAATTTGAGTTATAACTTGAATTGAACTTGTAACTTGAGTTTGTGTTTAGTTGTATATATTTGAGTTATGGTTTGAGATAAGAATCTTTTTGAGTTTGTGTTTGAGTGAGTCAAAACTTGAATTTGTATTTAGATAGTATTTTAATAAAAACTCAATGGTGATGAAAAATTTTAATAGGATATATAGGTGTAGTTTTATTCATCTTTTCGTTATAAATATATAGAAAAAATTATCTCAATCAGAATTAAAACGAATATAATATTTTTAAGAATAGAAAAAATACTGTTCATTAATTTGAGTTCGAGTTTCTAAACTCGAGTTAAAAGAAAAATTTGAACTCGAGTTTTAGTCCTAAACTCGAGTTTAAACTCGAATTTAAACTTAAAAGAACATAAACTCAAATAAAATTGTAGTTATATTTTTTTGAGTTTTTCGCTCAAAAGAACGGGCCTAAATTTTGTCTCTGAGTGCAACTCCAAGGGCTAACCCATTGACACACCACTCATTATTCTACTTCTTTCTCAGCAAACGAACAAGTTTGACCTTTTTCCTTCCAAAGAAGTTTGTTGTTAACGACTCAAATGAGCGACTCAATCGCCGAAAACAAGAGCCTGAAGGCGGGCGATGGCGAACCAAACCCAACGCAGAAGCGCACAATCGATTCCAAAGTCCCTAATTCGACTGCGAATAAGAAGTCCAAGACCGAAAACGATGAAAACCCAGAAGTTGTTGGCTCTGAAAATGCTGGTTCCGAGGTTGAAAATGATAAACCCGTTTCGAGAGAAATGGGTTTTGAAATTGAAGCTGATGCAGCTGAAGATAAGGGCTCTAGGCATTCTATGGAGGACGCTTGGGTTGTGCTCTTGGACGCCGCTTTGGATTATCCTTCCAAATTGAGGTTCTTATTCTATTCCTTTCTTCTCCTTACAAATCCTTATTTTCCGTTCTTGTAGTATCCCGTACATTTGGTTCTTCAATCTACTTACTTTTGGACAATTATTGATAGTTCTGATGAAGTTTCATATATGTGTTTATTCTACTTTTTTTTCCCTCTCTCTTTTGGGGAGGGGTGATAAAGAAAGAATTATTTTTTCCTCATTCAGACTCATTTGAAGTAGGATTTAAAAAAATATATATATTTGCCTTATCAAAATGTTCAGTTCCACCTTATGTTTTCAAAAGTGCTACACATATCAACCCATGTTCTACAGATCGTGTTAAGCTTATCCCTTAAAACATAAGGGATAAAGATGATATTGTTGAAAACATATGGTATAACTCAACATTTCGATGAAACAAAGGAGATTTTTGTTATAATCTTTTGCAATATTGCGATGGTCTCATCTATGTGTTTGTGTGCTTTGATATATTTGGTTATGTATTCTCTATGTTGAGCTCCTTTTCCTTCAGAGTTGGTACAACTGTTGTTGGGTTGTTCTACTTCCAATCACAAATATTGTCAACTGTCCGTAATTATTGAAACTCTATCTATGTGCTTGAATATACTTGTTTACACTCTATCTTTCAAAGTTAACTATTCTTCAAATTAGGGACATTATCAACCGCATTAATTCGCGTCTCGTACTTATTACGATTTTTTTTTGTTACAGTGTTTTCATTGACGAAGCAAATTATTTGCTTTCGTAGGTTGCAAATGCTACATCCATTACTTCATTTGGTGGTTTTTGTTTGATTCAAGTGTCCTTATCTTTTTCAGGTGTGCACATTTTGCAATATATGATGGACACGGAGGCCGATTGGCTGCGGAATATGCCCAGAAGCATTTACATGCAAATGTTCTCTCAGCTGGGTTACCACGTGAGTTGGTGTGTTTGCTTGGTCTATTATGGCACATATTTGTTTCTTAAGGCACTGGAGTTGAAAACATACGTAATCCTTTTTAAATACGCAAGTTCAGAATTCTTATGGACTAGATTTAAACTAGTGCCCCAGGAACCTGTTTAATTTATAATGTTCTTGAATGCAGAAGTTTATAAGAAAGGGTGTGGTGTGCTTCAATAGTTGATGATTAGCTTATCCTGCTAGTTGTGCACTGCATCCAACTGTCAAAACTCGAGAAAGAAAGAAAAAACACAAATGATACAAGTAGAATGGTTAAACAGTTCTTGTTTAGGAAAAGTTTGGTTGTTAAATTAGTTGAAGTACTGTGATTGACTTACTGACAAAAAGAAGTAAAAGAAATCGAAAGAGAAAGTATTATGTAATATGGTTGCAAGCTTCTGTTATGTGCACAACATAATGGAATGTATCAGACGTATAAGCTTAATGGTTAGTCAATTGACTGTTCATAAGTTTTTCTATAATTAGCCTTTGTTATACCATCACTTTTCCATGGTGATGCACAAATTATTGCAAAGCCATGTTGCTTGTATCATTGTATGTTTGGAGTTATATTGATATGCAAGACTTTTACAAAGTTATTAGAGGGTAGGATATCTGTAACGCCCCTTAAGCTAGCAGGTTGTTCATCAATTTATTCTTATTAGCCCCAGCCTAAAAAGCACTACTTCTCATAGACTTCCCTGTGCTTAAATTGTAATCTAAAAAGAAAATCCCACAAGCAGCAGAATAACTATAAATAATAAAATCAAATGCTTAGAGAAAATCTGCTGAAACTTTCTGAGGGAGGTCTATAGTCTATCACAAAATAAAACATAACTCTCTAAGCTACATCATCACTTGTCATGGGACTTCATAATCTTGTACTCAGTCAACCTTCAGTCCTATTTAGCTAGTAATATCTCCAACCTGTATCACAAGAACTATATGAGCTAGAAGCTCAGTAAGTAGAAACTTATGCAGAACATAAACTTTGTATGAGGATGCTATGACACATTTCCTTATATCAGTCTTCATTCTTCAATCATTTCCTTCATGAAAACAGTCTTTTTGGGTACCCTGAAGTGTGGTACTTAACTAACAATGATAGGCCGTGGTTTTTGGAACCTGTTCATCATGTTTTGGCAATAAAATATAATAATATGGGTTTCCCATACTTGGTCTTTCGACCTCAGGTATTTGCCGTATTCAATCTCAGTCTTTGCAGCTTTCCTCGACCGGTCTTTCGACCTCAAGTATTTATCACCAATCTTTGGGTCTAGCGGTCCCACCCCTGACCACCTATCAAGCACCATACTCCATTTTAAGAAAAACCTCATTCCTCTTTATAACGAATTTCATATCATGAACCATGTCATGAATGCTTAAATGCTCAATGAACATGTCAGTTTGCCGTGCATTCATATGCCTTTCATAAATCATACTGTTGAAAATCAGCCTATCTCCGGTATCCTTGATATCCGGGAGATTTGGGGGCAGTTAAGGGTTGATTTAGTCAGCCATATCTTTTAGAGAATAAAATCAGGACCTTATTATTCTGAGTTATTAGTTTCCTGATTTGTTGTTGATTTGTTTGATTTGTTTCCTAGTTTGTTGAGATAGTCTCTGGCCAGAATATGGCTATAAGTTCTAGGTATTTTGTTGTATTCATTTACCGATTTTCTAATAAAACTTTATAAGCAGTGTTTTATGGTTTTCTTCTATGGTATCTTTTCTCACATGGTATCAGAGCTGAGATACCGTTGAGAGGAAAACGACATGGCCAATAGCTTTAAGCAGGCCCTCACTGGGTTAAGCAAGGACGGAAAGGAGGGAGCTTCTACTGAATCTTCCGCTATACCGAGCCTTACAATTAACCCCACTGCTTCTTTTGATAACTCCTCTCTGAACTCCTCCCTTCTAATCACTCCCTACAAACTAAATGGAAAAAACTTCCTTCAATGGTCAAGGTCTGTCTAGATGGTTATACGAGGAAGAGGAAAAATTGGGTTTCTTGATGGCTCCACAAAGAAACCAGACCCAACCGACCCTGCATACACATCGTGGGACACCCAAAATGCCTTGGTGATGTCCTGGCTCATCAACTCTATGGAAGAACACATTGGGTCATTATACCTTGATCACTCCACGGCCAAAGTCATTTGGGATAAGGTGAAATTTGCCTATTCCGATCTGGAGAATCCTGCACAGTTGTGTGAATTAAGAGACCAAGCTAGGGATCTCAAACAAGGAAGTATGAATGTGACAGAGTATTACACTACCCTTACCAAGTTATGGCAGGAACTGGATTTGTTTGAGCCCAATGATTGGTGTGGTGAGTGTTTAGATAAATATGTGAAACTTATAGAAAAAACCCGTACCTATGACTTCCTTGCAGGGCTGAATAAGGATCTAGATGAGGTTCGTGGTAGAATGATTGGAATCCGACCTCTACCTCAGATTGAAGAAGTCTTTGCTGAGGTTCGAAGGGAGGAGAGTAGGCGCAAGATTATGCTCGGTGATCCTAGAGGTACTGCCCAAACAGAGGCTTATGCACTGGTCTCCAAAAACTATGAACAGAACAGAAAACCAGACTTCTCTAATGAACCATGGCGTGCTAAAAAGGGGAATCTTTGGTGTGATTATTGTCAAAGAACCAATCACACTAAAGAAACTTGCTGGAAATTACATGGGAAACCTCCCAATCAGCACAACCGTGAACATCAAAGGCAACCTGGACAGTTTCAAAAAGAAACCCGTGCCTACCAATCCAATGCTGAACGAGTTGAACAAAAATCTGGTGAGAATTTGGGCAGCATCAACCTCAGTAAGGAGCAACTTGAGCGTCTTTACAAGTTACTCACTCTAGAAAAAGTAATTGGTACTTCTTTAATTGCCTGGCAAGGTAATTTTCTTTCAGCCCTAAATTGCACAAAGGAAGAAAAAAATTCCTGGATTATTGACTCCGGAGCCTCAGGTCATATGACAGGTTGTGCTCAATTATTTTGCTCATATACTCCAAATTATGGTCACACTAAAGTGAGAATTGGAGATGGAACCTTGTCTCCGATTGTTGAAATTGGAACTATTAAGATTAACTCCCTTGTTCTTAAGTCTGTATGACATGTTCCAAATTTATCCTGTAATCTACTGTCAGTGAGCAAAATTTCTAAGGATTGTAATTGTAGAGTGATCTTCTCACAGAATCATTGTGAATTTCAGGACCAGGGTTCGGGGAAGAGGATTGGCAATGCTAGTGAGCATGAGGGACTATATTACTTTGACGAGGACACCGACGAGATCAAACAAGTTCATACTGTTAGTTGGGAACCTTCTTCAAGGCAAAATCAAGTAATGCTGTGGCATTTTAGGTTAGGGCATCCTAGTTTCGCGTATTTAAAACACTTGTTTCCTTCCTTGTTTAAGAATAATGACGTTTTTCAATGTGAAATATGTCAGTTGGCTAACATCAAAGATCCGTGTTTAAACCAAAACCTTTTAAAGCAACTAGACCTTTTGCCATGATTCATAGTGATATTTAGGGACCCTCATGGTCTCACAATATTTATTCAAAGCGTTGGTTTATATCCTTTATCGATGAATCCGTGTTTAAACCAAAACCTTTTAAAGCAACTAGACCTTTTGCCATGATTCATAGTGATATTTAGGGACCCTCACGGTCTCACAATATTTATTCAAAGCGTTGGTTTATATCCTTTATCGATGATCATACTCGTGTGTGTTGGTTGTACTTACTCAAAGATAAATATGATGTTGAGCAAACGTTCATAAATTCTCACAACATGGTTAAAACTCAGTACTCCACAAATATCCAAATCTTACACACTAATAATGGTAAAGAGTACTTTAACCAGATTTTAGGAGGATATCTTAATACAAATGGGATTATTCATCAAAGTTCTTGCACCAATACACCCCAGCAAAATGGCATAGCTGAAGAAAAAACAAACACCTTTTGGAAGTTGCTAGGTCCATCATGTTTACAACCAATACTCCTAAACAATTTTGGGGGGATGCTGTTCTCACTGCTTGCTACCTTATAAACAGAATGCCCACAAATGTTCTTCAGTTTCAAACTCCACTAAACGTCCTCTCCAAGCTTTTTCCTGAAAACCGAACCTTTAGTATTCTTCCCCTAAAAGTGTTCGGCTGTACTGTGTTTGCTCATAATCATGAACCCAATCGGAACAAACTTGATCCAAAGGCTCTCAAATGCATTTTTCTTGGATATGCTGCAAACCAAAAGGGGTACAAATGTTATTTTCCAGAAAAGAAAAAAAATCATTGTAACCATGGACCTCACCTTTTTTGAAAATACTCCTTTCTATTCCACAAATTCCCTTCAGGGGGAGACAAACAGTGAAGGAAATTTCTGGCATTTTTCTTCTGAAATCCTCAATTCTACCACCTCTGAAATCCCCAATTCTTTCACTTCACCGAACTTGCCTTTTTTAGAACCTAATCCCTCACACTCTGAAAATCTCAGTTTACCAAGAGTTGAAAATTTTGATGTGGTCGATGAAAGCAATAAACAAGGAGGGAATCTTGATGTGGAAAATAATCAAGAAGAAAACAAGGTGCATGATCTAGATGTCCAGCAACAGAAATTCCATCCAAATACAGAACTTTGTGTTTACTCTCGTCGGAAGAATCAACAAGTCCCTCTTACTCTCGAGGATTGTCATGAATCCAACCCGGACTCAGGTAATTTTCTTACCCTTCCTCCTATGGTTAATACTGATGATCAACCTATTGCTTTAAGAAAAGGTGTCCGTTCCTGTATTCAACATTCTATAGCTCAGTTTGTATAGTATGACCATTTGTCCTCTTCTATAAAGCATTAGTTTCCAGTCTTGAAGACACGGAAATTCCAAGAAATATTGAAGAAGCCTTTCAACGAACTGAGTGGAAAATGGCAGTAGAGGAAGAAATGCAAGCTCTAGAGAAGAATGGGACTTGGGAAGTGGTTAAAAAACCCAGAGATGCTGTACTTGTAGGCTGTAAATGGGTATTCACAGTGAAGTATAAATCTGACGGGTCCATTGAAAGGCACAAAGCGCGTTTGGTTGCTAAGGGGTTTACTCAGACCTACAGGATAGATTACCAAGAGACTTTTGCCCCTGTTGCCAAACTCAATACCATCCGGGTCCTTCTCTCTCTTGCAGCAAATATAGATTGGCCACTCCACCAACTTGACATCAAGAACGCATTTCTCAATGGTGACTTGACTGAAGAAGTTTATATGGAACTTCCTCCAGGTTTCAAGAGTGCTGGACAAACAGGGCAGGTGTGTAAGTTGAAAAAATCCCTCTATGGACTGAAACAATCACCTAGAGCGTGGTTTGAAAGGTTCACGAAAGTAGTCCGCCAACAAGGGTATAAGCAGGCTCACACTGATCACACACTATTCTACAAACATGAAGGTGGTAAGTCAACTATACTTATTGTATATGTTGATGACATTATCTTAACAGGTGATAATGTTCCAGAAATGGGTTATTTAAAGAAGAAGCTTGCAGATGAATTTGAGATCAAAGATCTGGGTACGCTAAGGTACTTTCTGGGTATGGAGATTGCTCGAAATAGATCAGGTATCTCTATTTCTCAAAGAAAATATGTCCTAGATCTTTTAAGGGAGACTGGGTTACTTGGATGCAAACCTGTTGATACCCCAGCCGATCCAAATGTTAAACTTGGAGATCAAAATACAAGTACACCAGTGGACAAGGGTAGATATCAGCGGCTCGTTGGAAAGCCTATTTATTTAGCTCATACGAGACCAGACATAGCTTTCGCTGTTAGCATGGTAAGCCAGTTTATGCATGCTCCATATGAGGAACACCTAAATGCAGTCATCCGGATATTGAAGTATCTAAAAGGAAGCCCAGGAAAAGGATTGTTCTTTAAGAAGGGAGAATCTCGTGAAATTAAAGCCTATACTGACGCTGATTGGGCTGGCTCAGTGGCAGATAGGAGATCTACATCCGGTTACTGTTCTTATGTTTGGGGAAACTTGGTGACATGGAGGAGCAAAAAGCAAAATGTAGTGGCTAGAAGTAGCGTAGAGGCTGAACTTAGATCCTTAGCAAATGGAGTTAGTGAATTGATTTGGCTAAGGCTACTCCTTGAAGAACTTCAAGTTGCAACAGAAAGTCCTATGATATTGTACTGCGACAACAAAGTTGTCATCAGCATAGCTCATAATCCTGTGCATGTACTAAACATGTAGAGGTTGATCGACACTTTATCAAAGAGAAGATTGAAGATGGGACTCTTTGCATTCCTCATATAGCTTTAGCCGAGCAGACAGCAGACATTCTAACTGAAGGATTGCCAAGACCTCTTTTTGAGAAGATGATTTACAAGTTGGGATTGTTTGATGTATACAATCCAGCTTGAGGGGGAGTGTTAGAAAATCAGCCTATCTCTGGTATCCCTGATATCCGGGAGATTTGGGGGCAGTTAAGGGTTGATTTAGTCAGCCCTATATTTTAGAGAATAAAATCAGGACCTTATTTTTCTGAGTTATTAGTTTCATGATTTGTTGTTGATTTGTTTGATTTGTTTCCTAGTTTGTTGAGATAGTCTCTGACCAGAATATGGCTATAAGTTCTAGGTCTTTTGTTGTATTCATTTACCGATTTTCTAATAAAACTTTCTGAGCAGTGTTTTATGGTTTTCTTCTCCGGTATCTTTTCTCACACTTACAATAAACATATATAATGTCATGTTTTCATATACTTCATAAATCACAGAATAAACATAAAAGACCATGATATTACTTAGAAACAAAAAACATAACAGCCATTCTATTATTCTTCTGAAAAGTTGAAGATTCTACTTACCTCGACTCGGGATAACTATAATAACTGAAAGTATAAATAGCCTCCAGAATGCTTACAAACTTTCCTATTGCGTTAAAGATATAAAGACAAATTTAGTACTAGTAACCTGTTCAATAATGAAGTGCTTCTACATATATTACAATACATAATAAGATAAAATCGAATCCTTTATTTATTATTTGGACGAAAAGATTCTATTTTACACATAAAGCTAACTACCCACGGAAGTCTAGTATCTAAACGGAAGGTAAACGTAAATTAGACATCATGGACACATTGAAATAAGAGTAGAACAGCCACCCAATATCAACTACTATTCTTCCATGGAATTCTCTTTAGACATATAACCATCTATATATACAAAGCTGGAAATATAAATGATTATAGCCTAATTATTCCTCTATCATGATATATGTATATATATCAAAGTATTATAATTGAAGAGCTAGACAATAAAGAGGTACATAGGCCTAAACATGTCTGCGGTTTTATAAGACAGGTAAGAATTAAACTACATAATAACTAAGCAACAATAACAGGTCAAAGTTGCTATATAAAAGAAGAAGTAATCCAATTAAATAAACATATTATAATGTGCTAATCTTCTTAAAAACTATATGTAGATGTGTATAAGTGTGTGTGTGTCCATGTATCATTACCTAAACTCCATCAAAATTGTCGATAGAAGTGAACACGGTAAAGGAGAGTTTAAAAATTAGAGAAAAACTTACTGTTATATCTCTGGGATGGAGAGAAGTATGGGAAAGTTAATGAATGGGAAACGTCGGAGAACTTCAAGAAGAAATGAGTGAGTTTTGTTGATGAATGAAAATCCATATCAAATAACCTTAAAAAGTTGCTGACTTACCAGTATTGGTTCTTACATATAATTATTTAAAATATACCATTAATATAATATCTATAGATACATAAGCGGCTATAGAACATTGTAGAAGAATTTAACATGTGTATACTAGTAATACAGTACAAATATAGTAGTTATTGATGAATTAAAAGAGTTACACGTGAGAGAGAGCAGACTCATACCATCACATTACATAAAATAACTATGAATAAAAATCATATGTCAACTTGTCATTGGCAATTTTATTAACCACTTATGCTCAAATTTAAATGCTGTCTCTAGCATAAAATAAGCCTCTTAATTTCCTATAATAAACTAGAAGCTCAAAAAGTCGGGTGTTACAAGATCCCTCCGAAAGACTATTAAAATGAAAGAAACCATAAATGAAAACCATCAGTCCCTCTTGCTAAGAATAATCATCAAAGAGAAAGGAAAATTGTAAAATTCCTTGTCTGTAGATGCCCAATAAGAAGAAACATATCTGATTCTCTCACGAAGAAAGTGCATGTGCTGCTCCTTGTTCTCGAATTTCTGCGCTCTTTACATCCATATGATCGACAAGATTGGCAAAATTGTACACTTGCACGTCATCGTAGTCATTTTCATAGAACCAAAACCAAAGGGTCGTTCCACCCGTAAAGAAACATTTTGCAGTTGTTCAACTTGTTCTACTTTCTTATGCTGTACTTTTTATATTCAATGAAAATTCTGGCCATTGCTCATTTATCTTTATAGCTTTTCGCAAGAAAAAGTCTTGAAATTTCAGAACTTATTGTATCTTTGTTTCTTCATCTTTTGCTCACCGGTCTTGTAAAGCCATCTTCACTACGGTACCTTAAATTAAGTTGATGTTTCATGAGTTCAATATTTATATTCTACAAATTTAAGTGGTTGGTGCTGTCTTGCTTATGATGTGATTCTTTTGAAAATTCCTGGTGCAAGTGACTAAATATATGGTCAAGTAGTGAAAATTCGTGGTAAAAAAGAATAGTGTATATATTTGTGTGTACACATAATGCTTGGAAGTTTCTTGGTTTGTTCATGCCACGTGGAATGGAATTAACTTTTATCAATGGAAACTCCGCCATAGAAGAAAGAGAAACTCCGCCATAGAATAAAGAAGCAATATCATATAACTTGAGATACTTTCCTTGTCAGACTTTTTTTTATAAAAAAAAAAATCTAACTAACTGCATTTTTTACATATTACATTTAAGACTATATACTAATTTTAAATAACATACTGCCTTTTTTGGGAATTGCAGTTGGATATAAAAGTGGCTAAAAGAGCAATACTTGATGGTATGAAACATATCACTTCTTTTTCCTGTACATATGTAGAAAATAGAAAATATTTGGTTATGAATTATTTACCGATGTTTACCTTGTTTAATGTTTTCATTTGAAACTTTCTTCACTCAATTTAGGTTTTCGGAAAACAGATGAGTCTCTCCTTCAAGAAAGTGCTGCAGGTACAGACTAGTGCCTTAGATCAAACTCTAGGAATTTTCCATGTCTTTTATTGAAGTACAAGCATTATTTTAAGTTTCGATCTTTTAATGCTATTTCATTCTGAACTTCGTTTTTTATTCTTGGATTTTCTTTTTCAAGAAAAGTTATTTTTTCAAGAAGATTTATAACTGTGTAATGTCATCATAACTTTCAAGATGAAAGTGCATCCAACCCTATGTATGCCTAGCTTTCAGTTACTAGCTAGTATAGTTTGCATTGGAACCATATGTCAGAAGAACATGTTACAAGCTAAAGATAGACCATGTATCATGATTTTTACGTATAGTAAAAACATTTGATTACCCATGGGGTGTTGGTTGGAACGGCCAGGCCTTTGGTTTGTTCCCACAACGTCTGGGGTTGAACAACCTTAGAGGCGCCTACATGACAAAAGTCGTAGTTTCCTGCATTCCAAAAATTGTAGAGTTTGGAAGGCTCCAATTTCTAACTCGGCCTCACAATGTGGGTTCGTGGGATCTCTAGATATCAAAAAAAAAAAAAAATCATTAGTAGTTTCAGTTACTTGCAAACTAAAGCATTAACTAATGAATGTAACAGATTTTCGAGAACAAGTTTGACCTAAACAAAAAATGAATAATGTGTATTACTTGAATAATTATCTGAAGTTTTTGGTTAAATATCACGATTGAAAATAAACATGTTAACTGTATGGTTCTTGACCTTTTTGTTCTCTTGATTTGTTGGTGCTACAACAAGGCCACAATTCTTTCTTTTTTTTTTCTTTGATAGGATTCAGATTTTTTTTTAAATAATAATAATTATTAATAATAAAAAGTAAAAAATTAAAATAAAAAAGGCTTATTTGTGTTTTCTCTCCCTTGTTCTTCTTATTTTCTGTTCTCCATTTCTTATTTTGTCTCATTAACTAGGAATCATGTGGAACAAGTTCAATGCTTAGAAAGACTCTTAAGCTACAGTTGAGAACTTCTTTTTGATATCTTTATCAGGGGGATGGCAGGATGGTGCTACTGCTGTATGTGTTTGGATAGTAGGAAAAACAGTAAGTTTGCAAGACTGCAACTGTTAACTTTTAACGTGTTCAACAACTGAGGGTCATGATTCTCAAAGTTTAGATGCGTTAATTATTAGGGACTTGTAAAATGTTAATTGATCTAGCGTCTCAGATGAAATATGATAAGTTTGTTTGCTTACCGCTTTCTAGTGGATAGCTACTGGGATTGCTGTATTGCTTGAAATGTCATTACCTTTTGATTGGGCATTCAATTTCTTGAAAGGAGAAAATGTTATTAAGCATATTTTATCGCCACTCAATACACAAGTATGTTAAAGTTCTGCTTGATGTTCCTAGGTTTTTGTAGCTAACATAGGAGATGCAAAGGCAGTGGTAGCACGCTCATCTACTTCAGAAGGATCGCAGCATAATCCTGACGGAGCAACCACCATGAAAGCCATTGTTCTGACAAGAGAACACAAAGCAATCTATCCCCAGGAGCGTGCTCGAATTCAGAAGGTAATGGCTGCATGCATCCACCAACAATAATAATAATAATAGATATGAAAAACAAAAGGCACAAAATAATACTTATTACAAACTAATTGAAAGAATTTTGAGTTCACTATTCCGTAATCCTATCTCAACTCCTGCCTTGTGAATGAATTGAAGTACTTCATTCAGTTAGATGCCAATAGGAGCCAAAAGATTAGCAGTCACACATTTTGTTTATATTTTTCTTTATTTTGGTGAGTTTCATTTCCTGAACATAAGAATACTAGGAGAAACATGATTAACTTTAGGTTTAGTACATCTCTACTTTCATTTTATCAATTCTCCCCCTGAATTAATGGTAAATTTGACTATGACATGGGGTTTTAAGTAAGTTGCTTTTAACTTTGCTTTGCCGGTTAAGAACCTAGTTTGCATTCATTGACTCTCAAACTTCATGGCTACGCTTTATTTTTTGCATCTGAATTTGTAATGTGATATGCTTTTGATGAGAAATTTGTTAACTTTCAGGCTGGTGGTATAGTGAGTGCAAATGGACGATTACAAGGTCGCCTTGAAGTCTCTAGGGCATTTGGAGACCGTCAGTTCAAGAAGGTTCTAATTGAGTTGAATGATAGCATTTTTGCATTAGCTTTTATCTTGGAAAGATTATACCCTCAGTACACATTTTTTTCTTGTCGAAAATGTTTCTAATTTTCTAAATGCCTTTTTTTTTCGCGGGTTTGAGTTGAGAACTCAAATTGAAAAGTGAATTTTTATGAGAGAAAACACTATAGCAAAAACAAATCGAAGTTGATTTTTTGTGAGAAAAACACTAGCAAAAAGTTTGAGTTGTGATTCGAATTGTGAAAAGAACGGACCTTATGACTTTCATTTAAAAATGAGATTGCTAAAAACTTTTTTTTTTTCAATGATTTCTTTTCTTGGAAAGGAAGACTAAATTTTTATAGAAAAAATGAGATCTCCAAGCCCAAAAGAGAGCAAATTAAGGTTTCTTCTTTTCAGATACATTCTTGATTTCAACCGGCTCACATTTTCTTCCATTTTACTCAAGTGTTTTTTTCGCTTCATATGCAATATTGTTTAATGAATTGCTTTCTTTGAGATATCATAAAACGCAGGTGGGTGTTGTTGCTACCCCTGATATTCATTCTTTTGACCTTACGGACAGAGAGCACTTTTTAATCCTTGGTTGTGATGGCCTCTGGGGGGTATGCTCTTTGAGCACTTGGGTTATATCCTGTTGGTATTTTTTATTTTTATTATTTTTATTTTTTATAACGCAAAATGAATTTCAACTCGTTATTTTGTCTCTGATCATCTTTGATTTTCACTTTTCTTCTTTCTTCTCAGGTTTTTGGACCAAGTGATGCTGTTGATTTTGTTCACAAATTGTTAAAGGTTTGGGGATAGGATTTTTCTTCCTTTATCATATCAGAAAATAATTTGTTATCTTTCTTCTGACTCGTTTTAACAAATGGAAAGCTTTAGTTTTCAGATTTCATTTCTATTCTTTCCCCTCTTAAAAGGGTTTTGATATGAAAGTCATGCACAAAAATCAAAGGGGACTCTTTATTCTTCATTAATTTGACACACACATTGATTTGCTGATCATAACATTTACCCCCTAAGATTTTTCCATAAAGAACTTTTTCTGTATTTTACCTCGATAAATATTTCCTAGCTGCTGATCTGGTACATACAACTAACTAATTATTTCCATGGATATTTTTCTAGTTGTTGCTCACTTTTGTTTATTATTATTAAAACTATTTCTGCATGTTAATAATTGAAATGATCTTATCACTTAAAGGAGTCCCTTTTTTTTTTTTATTGAATCTAATTCTACATGTTGATTACTGGAAATTATTTGATTAATTGAAGTGGTATTGTTTAACAGGAGGGATTACCTGTTGCAACAGTTAGCCGCCGTCTCGTTAGGGAAGCTGTGCTTGAGCGCCGCTGTAAAGATAACTGCACTGCAATCCTAATTGTTTTCAGGCACAAGTAATTGTTAGCTTGCTGCTAGTTGTTAGAGATGATGAGGTTTTCAAACTCCTCGTTCCTACGTCCTGTATTGTATGCATTCGTATTTTGAAGGATTTGTAGGTACCCCGAAATTGTTCTGCCCTGCAATCTAATACTTCGGTTGGTTAGTCTCTCAGATTTGCAGAAGACTTGAGCTGCGGTAATACCGAGTTTGAAGCAGACATCTTACTTTAAATGGTAAATCTTGATTAATTTGTATGAACATTCCAACATTTATGTTTTTCTTGGCTGCTTAGTGTGTAACAGTTGTTAGACTATTAAAGTAATTTTTTCTCTGACTGGGTATGGTGAACAGCAATATCCTTTTCAATTATTATCATTTTTTTTTTCAGTAGTAGCCTTCTCAAGAACAGTCATATTACAAAAAGTGGTATTGTTGAGACTTTAGCTACACATTTTTGACTTTTTGTGAAGTCCATTGTTTAGTTACACAAATAAATAGAGTTCCATCAAAAGAAGTACGGTATCAGGTATCTGGATCTGACATCCTTTGAGCCATATGTTTTGGAAGCCCTGACCATTTTCTAGTTTGGACAATGCTTCCTTCAGGGATTTTGTGTGCTCGTGATCAATTATTAGCTATATAAGCTATAATGGAAAGAAACTAGTGGAAAATTTTTCCCAAAGAAATATAATAGATAAAGAAACTAAAAAAGTCACAAGTGTTCATCCTCTAAACCCCAAATTAGATGATGGTTTTGCTTGACCTGAGTACTACTGCAATTGAACTTTTGACATTTTGCCAAAACCAAGTCACATAATCTTGAAAGTTATTCTTTTCACAATTCAAATCACAACTCAAGTTCTTTTATTACAGTGTTTTCTTTCCCATAAAAAATTTGAATTGTGACCATAGTTGTGAAAAGAATGCACCGTTAATGTTCTGGGTGCATTATTATTAAAAAAAAATAAAATTATGGGTACAAAGAGATAATGAGATTTGAGCCAATCCCATGTTGATTAATGATTGTAGACGAAATTCATTGTTTGCTTTCTTTTTGTGCCCTTCACAGACAAAGGCTGAAGGGAGAATATTCTTACTCCAATTTGCACTTTTGTTAAAAATCTTTCGAACCAAGTTAACGAAAGGTTCATGAATGGTTGGGGAGCAGAAATCCCATGCAGATACAGCGGATGTGAATCCTCTCCTGACAAATTTCCATTTCGTAAGGGACATGTTTATGCAAGATATTCGTCCATAAAATATTATTTATATCAATAAGTGATTCTCTAGAATTATCTTTGAAGGTAATTCTTAAGGATTTTAAAGCTTGAATCTAGAATGGACTATGGAATGAGTGTGGTAAAAGGGGAAAAAATACTTATTCTGCCCTTTTTTTTTTGTTGGCTTTAAGAGGAAAAACTCTCCTATGTCCATGTTTCACTATAATATCGCCTATTTGATTTCTCAAATCTCGTAATCTCACTCAAATCAGAAAATGTCCTCTGAAAACACTCAAGATGGAGATTCATTTTGCTTAACATGAAACAAGTCTGACATGAATAGTACATGTTCAGCCAATAAAGCGATTGCAAAATCTATTGCAGATTCTGTTGGTGATTGCTGGGTGGTCATGAGGTTCAATCCAGCAGCCATATAAAAAATGATTGCGGTGTATATTGTTTTTGTTTTGCACAAGGGACTTTGAGGATGTCATGAACCAAATGACATTCATGGACAAAACCCGTAATAAAATGAGTTCTATCCTAGTGTATGTTTTTGCACTAAGATTTCGTAAAAATCACATTAAAACGAAAAGATATGCAAAATTGGTGGAACATGACGGTTTAAAATAGAGCCTTACTGTTGGTGGCTCTTTCATACCCTATCATAAAAATCTCACAAAATAAAAGTACACCTTTTGTTAAGATGTGCCGAAGTAAATGTTCCTCGATCTACTTCCGTTTCTGTACTTTACTTTATTAATGAGTTTTATATGCAGCCAGCCAAGTAGTTTATGTGAATTAAGGCTTTTGAAAAAAAAAAAACAAAATAAAAGAAAAGAAAAAGTAATACCAGGATAATTTCTATTTTGCATATTATAGCATCATTCATGGCCAAAATTTCCATGAATTTTTAGCCCATCAACTCATTCCAAAGAACTGTTTCACTTCAATATTTTGTTTTGTACCAAAACCTTGACCAATCTACTAGTAACCTACATGTGGTTTGCCTCAGCTAAGTTCTTATTTTATCACTTTTAGAAAGATAAATAAAAAAAAAAATGCCCAAATCATTAGCATCACATGCCATCACTTTGATTCCTTTTGCAGTGATCTCCTTGTACATCCAACTAATATACAAGAACTGCCTCTCATCCATGATTTTCAATAAAACCACCTAATCCCAGTGACCATTTGTCGTTTCATTATCAGTGTTTGGTATCAATCTCACATTAAAAAAGACAATTTTTTTTTCCTTTTTTTGGGCCCCTAATTTAATGAGAGACTATTGACAAATAAGGGTCTCATAATAGACAGACATACCTAGAAAATTATGGGTCATGGTCAATGCATAGAAATCAAGGTTGGCCACTCTCTAACTGCCTGGCCAACATGCTTTACCCAAATTTTGTCTCCCTTAATTAAAAAATGTCTATTATTAAGGAACATATATTAATGCAAAACACAAAGCCTTCACGCATAAGAACTTTATACTATGTCACATATAATAAAATAGGTCCATAAGATAAATATGCAGATGCTTTTTTGGTAGTTTGCTACCCTCATGCAGAAAATAATATACAATTTTCCAAAATGATTATTCTTCCAAGCATCTGTATAAATATCAGCATGATTTGTAATGTATCACCCAATTAACAAAGTGTGCTAAAAGGAGATTTTGATTGATTAGAAGAATGGGAAAAGAAATTGTTTTGTCTGACAATGTAAAGATTCTTCTGGCTTTGCTTGTCCTGCAGCTCTGCTTTTCAGGGTTTCACATTGTCTCTAGAGTTGCACTAAATATTGGTGTTAGCAAAGTTGTTTACCCAGTTTATAGGAATCTCATTGCATTACTTTTGCTGGGTCCATCAGCTTATTTCTTAGAGAAGTAATTTCTCATAATGGCACCATTCTTTTCTTTCTTTCTTTTTTCCCCCTATTTGATTCTTTTGAGCTTTTTGTATCTAAAAGGTCAAAATATTCTATTTTATGCAACTTTGTAATGTTATAGTTTTTTTTTTCCTAAATTTATTTATTTACGTTTTCTCTTAGGAATGAAAGACCACCTCTTACTCTCCCTTTGTTGGCTCAGTTCTTCCTTCTTGCATTACTTGGGTGAGTAGAAAGATCAACAATAAAATACAAGAACTTGATTCTTGTTTTTCTATTACTTTCCATTAGAATATTGAGCTACTTCATTTAGTTCCTTTCACTTATTAGATTTCTGGTGTTAGGTACACTGCAAATCAAGGATTTTATCTGTTGGGATTGTATTATGCATCTCCAACATTTGCTTCAGCAATGCAAAACTCAGTTCCTGCAATTACTTTTCTTATGGCTTCAGCTTTAAGGTAGTTCCAAACTCTGCTTATAAATCCTTCTTGCTTCTGAATATGTAAACAACGTTCTCTTAAGCCCTCTCTGAAAAACTGCAGACTCGAGAAAGTAAACGTCACAAGGAGAGATGGGATGGCAAAAATCCTTGGAACCATTGCAAGTATAGGAGGTGCCACGGTTATTACTCTCTACAAAGGGCCTCCTCTTTTGCACCAGACAGTGCAAGTACAAGGAAATGCCTCAGCAGAGGAGATTCCGAGAAATGCGCAGAACTGGACATGGGGTTGTATATACCTGCTTGGCCACTGCTTATCATGGGCAAGTTGGATGGTCTTTCAGGTTAGCCTATGACACAATCTTAGACCCCTTGTAGTTAATTATTGATAAAACTCACAAGTTCCAACTATGTGTCTGGCTTTTTTCTGTCTGAAGACTAGTAACATGTTTCATGTCCTAAAATGTGAAAGTTCCAAATTTTAATTTGCAGGCTCCTGTGCTGAAGAAGTATCCGGCGAAGCTCTCACTTACATCATTTACATGCTTCTTCGGATTGATCCAGTTCCTAGTCATCGCAGCTTTTGTAGAAACAGACTTTGAGCGTTGGAAAATCGTATCTGGAGAGGAAGTGTTCACAATCCTATATGCTGTAATGATTTTTTGCACTCTAAGCTCCTTATATATTAATTATTATGTTACATTTTTGTATCTCCATGGTTTCTTGACACTCTTTTGACAATTCCCTTTTCTTTTTCTTTAGGGAATTATATCATCTGGTGTGGTCATTGCCCTTCAGACATGGTGTATCCACAAAGGCGGCCCTGTATTTGTCGCAGTCTTCCAGCCTTTGCAGACCTTCCTAGTTGCTATAATGGCAACTCTAATTCTACACGATCAGTTATATTCTGGAGGGTATGTTCTATCATCAACAAATGACTTCTAGAGCTCAATATTACTCAGTTGTTACAGTTTGGTTCTTATTTTTCTCTCTCCCTTTGCAGGATTGTTGGTGCCGTTCTCATAATGCTAGGTCTCTACTTAGTTCTATGGGGTAAAAACAGAGAGAGGAGAATGGAAAACCAAAGGGAACCATTTAAAGTGCCACTTCTTGATGAAGAAAGTATAGAGAAACAAGATGGTGAAGTTGAATCAGACATACCTTGATATAATTAATACCTTGTCAAGATAGTTACTGGTTTGAGATGAGCCCAACATCTCAACATGTAAATCTAATGGGACACTTTTTTTTCTTTTTCTTTTTTTTTTACCCCTTTTTACCCCCTCTTTTCTTGTTTTAAAAGATGTTGAATTATGTATATGTCAAGACACCCTGCAAAATGGGTTGGAGAAAAGGCTACTTCAATGAATACTCTTTGATGCAACCATAGTTTTCTGTTTATGCTTTTGACTAAGCAACACATTTCTTTCGCTCCATTCATATCCTTTTGGTTGCAAAAGAAATTTTCCTTTTTTTCTGGGACTACTGCCAAGCAAGAATGAACTTCTTATCTGCCTTGTCTCGATTCCTCACGTTAACAAATGAAAATTAGAATCGAGATAGAGCGGTACATTTGACGCATTATTGTAGGGCTAGGCCTGTAAGTCGGTCGGGTAGGATCGGCCTTGGGCCAGAAATTGGGCCGAGCCGCAATGTGTGGGCTGAGAAAGATTTGGGCTGCAACACTTCCCAACAAATCAGTAACCCTTTGAATTACCTCGGGTAGGCTCGGGGTGACCGGGTTGGTCGGATTGGGCGTTGACGTTGGGGTTCTTGCAATTAAGCCCATTATCATTGGCCAGAGAAAACTTTGTGATTGGGCTTGTGTTGTATGTGTCCGAAAATAGCCGTAGTCAAAGAAAATGTTAGAATTGAGCCAAAAAAATATTAAATTTAGGGTTGATTTCTTTCCCAGTGTGCTGATAAATTCGGCTGGATAAGGGCAATATCGGGTTCCTTAAATATGCCCTGTGACCTTACCCGCACTTTGCGGGTTGGGCATTATTGCTACCACAAAAAAAAAAAAAAAAAATCCCACTATTTTCAAGTAGGTAAGGTCGGCTCGGGCGGGTTCATCAGGTTCGGCCTGAATTCTTACACCCCTATGTAGGGCTACCATCGAAATGTATAGGAATACTCGTGGAATGCAAGCTGACCAGTCCATGAGGAGGTTGATGCACGCCAAACACAAAAATTCACTATTTCACAAGGATAAGTGCATATGCAAAAACTCGGAACATAGAAGAGTCGTTGAGTGCCTCATCCCTTGCCGCTATGCTATCACCATTGGTGACCAAACAATGTAAAGTGATTATTTGTGATGCCAAAGGTTTTGCCATGTAGCTCACATTGTGACAAACAAGTAAACCTTTAAGCTAGTACAACTGAACAGACTTCTATTTCCAAACTGTATAACCCAATGTGAAACAAAATCTGATATCGGTGTCATTGGGGCAAACTCAATGCCATTATATAGTTTTTGTTGTGTGTCGAGACTGGTCAATGTATACAAATATGAGTAAAAACTGTTTATCAACAGCATGATACAAATAACCTGTCTACCGACATGCTTTATTAAATATGGAGAAATTAGGTGAAATGGCCACTTTAACCACCTCTTTTAACTAGTATCTAAAACTTTTTTTTTTCAAGAAAAATAACCAGTGACCATTAAAATGGTTGCTGCGTTGGTTAATCACTTAGTTAAATCATTGATTGATATTGGTTAAACACTGATTTGTGATTGACCACTAAGGAAATAAATCACTAATTGAGCACATTTAAGAAAAAAGCCATTTTCTTAATATAACAAAACTTCAGATATTTATAAAAAAAAAATGATTTTTTTTATAAAAAAAAAAGACTTTTTCCCACACATCCTTTAGATAGGATTTATCAGTAACAAATGTACAACAAATTTATAGGACAATTCATAAATAAATAATCAACGTAACACGCTTAATTAACCCGACAACAAGCAATTGACCTGTTTAAATTTATATCAACTGTGTCATATAACCACATCCTCAACTTAATAGTCTAAAATTGGTATGCAATTCAAACATAGAATAAGATTTCAAACACCACACATAACAACGAGTTTCGATACAATTAAGATTGGAAACATGACAACATCACTCACTAACAATCTCTATGAATGCAATCCCTTGATGGAGCAGAGGCTTGATGTAACATCATTGGCAATACACTTGCGTCACTATGGATGAGGAGGTCAACATTAAGACGTTGATCAAAGACGGGTAATCTTATAGAAGGGCTTTTCAGTTGATATAATCAAAGTCAATTGTCATATTGAGTACTAACATGCAATTAATGTGACAAACATAAAAATGCTATTCTAAAAACAATCTTCATCAAATTTTAAATAACCTGGACCTGGTAAATGAAACATAAAACCATTT